ACCTCTGCATTCCTAAACTCGTCTTCTACAAAACGGGCAGTATTATTGTCCTTTTCTCCCACCCCACCATCTTGCCTATTCAAACCAGAAGCTGTTCAGGGTAGTGACCATTTACCTACAGTATTTATATAGCCCTCATCGCCATAGTATTTGAGGGTCAATCAGTCTTTAACATATTCATCTTCATCGCACCCCTGCAAAGCAGAGAAGTATCATTATCCATTTTACGGATGGACACCCAGCCAAACTGAATAGCTATGGATAACTCCTATTTCCTAAGCAGTTTGCACTTACAGCTGACTGATGAGGGGAGGAAAGCTGTATCTAAAATGTTATATTCTTAGAAAAAAAGGGGGGGGGCAAGAGATCAGAGAAGGAGGCATAGTGAGAAATGGTGCAGGATTCGTAAGGGTACAGGATTTGACTTCAGGGGACAGAAGTACAGAAACAGAGTTGGGATGCAACAGTGTAGTCGATTAACAATAACAAAAGCTTATAGGTTAATGCTATAGACTACATGCATTTCCCCCCACCAGTAAGTTTTTTAGCAGGCTGGCCAGCACCCTGACTCAGTCCTGGCTCAAGCCAGGTCTGGGACCTATCCCTGTTGTGGCTCTGCATCTAAAGTGTATTAGGAGCCAGGTGGGCAGGCAGCCTGGTTCAGTTCCAGGTCACATAGGGTCTGGGAGCTCATCCACCTGCCCCTCCCAGGACAGGGGCTGCTGCTGCCACCCCACACTGTGCAGCAGTGAGGGGTGACAGGCAGCCAGTCCGCGAGGGGAGCTGGTTTTTAAATTGGCTACCCTCGTGAACCAGCTCACGCCGGATAGAGATGCAGCAGCACGAAGTGGCATGGGGCTCCACAGGAACGGGGATGGAGTGCACTGGCTGCCGGCCTCATCCTTGGGGACTTTAGAATAGTCAACTAACCGATAAAAAATCATGAGGTTTGTCAACTATTCAATGAACTGATATTTAACATCCCTAGCTGGGGGGAACCAGCCTTTAAGTCAGCTCCCGCCAGCACTGGCTCCTACTTTCCCACTCTTGCTGCCTCTGATATATATAGCCAAGGCGTATTGGGTAGTCAACTAATTGACTACTCTTTTACATCCCTAGTGCAGATTAAAGGAGTCTAAGGGGCAGCTTCAGAGGTGTGCTAATTTATGCATCGGACTATGGTGTCTGCCAGCTAGGAAGCACCAGAACTCATGTTCTATGACCCAGCATTCCTCCAAAACTAAGAGGTGTGAATGTCAGCTCTCTGCCAGCTGCAAGCTTCCCATACAAGTGGTTGGCAAATAATTTCTTCTAAGGGTGGCTGCACATGAGAGAATGAAGAGCTGCCCACCTAATTAATGGCTCACAGGCATGGCTCCATTAACTAGGTGCCTAGACCCTTAAGGTGAGGTAGTGGCCTTGGGGGGGGAATAGGAGGTAAGTGCTTAAAACGACCCTTAAGGTGAGGTAGTGGCCTTGGGGGGGGGGGATAGGAGGTAAGTGCTTAAAATGTCATGTGAGACTGCCATAACACAATGGCGGAATGTGGGTAAAACCACAGAGCAAGAGACATACAATTTTATCCTAAGGAGTTCAGTTGCAAATTTAATTAACTTATTTTTGAATGAGCATTATCAGCATGGAAACACATCTTCTAAAAAGGTCTGAAGAATGAAGGGACATATAGATGTTTAACATATGTACATAAATACCTTGGAAAAGCGGCGACAACAGTACCATGAAAACTGGGGATGCAAAACTGTACACATGTAAAGGATTACACGCAGGCCCTTCCCTCTCCCCCATTGCCTCTATATCAGAAGCAGCAGCTAAGGGGAAAAGGGCAGGTAGCAGCCAACTCCACTCAGTGTAAATCACTGAAATTTTCAGTAATTTTTATTGCATTTGCTTTAATAAAATCATTTTAACATTCCAAATGCAAACACTTCTATCAGGTGACACTGTAATATCTCCAGTAATTGTAAACAAAGCTGTTTGTCTTGGTGACTGGCTGAACAAGAAGTAGGCCTAAGCAAACTTGTAGGCCCTACAGTTTTACATTGCTTTGTTGAGTACAGTTATGTAACACAAAAAAGTCTACATTTGTAAGTTGAACTTCAGTGATAAAGAGATTGCAAGCCTTTACTTGTATGAGGTGAATTGAAAAATATGATTACTTTGGTTCGTCTTTTTCACAGTGCAAACTATTTTAAGAAAAAATGAGCACTGTACTTTAATAGAAAAATCAATATATTGCAATTAAAATCAATATATTTTTAAATGTAGAAAACATCCAAAAATGTATTAAAAAGTTCAATTGTTGTTCTATTATTGTTTACCAATGAGATTATTATAGTAATTAATCCCAATTAATTTTTAAGTCAAGTTAATTAGCTCAAGTTGACTTAAGTTAACTACTGCCATTAATGGACAGCCCTACGGTTTAGTGATGACATAATGCACTTGAGCATTATGTTCAAGTTTTTTGTAGGGTGTTCCTTATTTTCATTCTAATTTGTAGTTTATCTAATGTATAGGAGTTACAATTTTCAAATCAATAATTTATTACTTAAATAACTACATTCTTAGTGGAGAAGGTGGAGCCAGAAATATACTTTGAATGTTCTAGCATTTCTTACTTTAATACAAGATTTTGATTTGAATATTATTGCATCTTATGGTACTATATAATCATAAATTAATCCAAAAAAGAGTAATTGTAATGGCTATTAACCATAGAATTCTCCACTGCTACATCAAATGCAGGTGCCTATTAGGGATCTCTATTAGGGGTGCACGTGCCTATTAGGAGTTACATGGTTACATGCTGTGGGCTCTGCAGTATAAAGCTTTTACTGTGGAGCTTGTCAAATAGCCAGCTCCCCAGCGTGCACCAGCTTCCAGCTACATCTCCGCTCCTTGGCAGCCAACTTTTAGTTAGCCCCCGGAGCATACTGGCTCCCAGCTACACACACAGCTCCCCAGAAGAGGGGCTGAGACTCTGTGTGTAACCATTATGGTAACCGATTGGCTAACCAATAAGCATGAGCCTTTTAAACAACTATAGAATTACATCCCTAGCGCCTATCTATGAAATTACTGCCACTTGAACACAGTTTTAATGTGTTGAACAAATTGTAATGCCTTCATACTGAAACAGATGCATTCCCACAATACAGTTTGCAGGTTGCTGTATGTTTTCCTAGGAAAGTTCAACCACTTTGGCAAGTCTACCAAGTGAACATCTTCCAAATAAACCTGAGAAACAGGGGGTGAGGGAATATCTTTTATTGGACCAACTTCGGTTGGCGAGACAGACAAGTTTTCAAGCTTGTACTGTCCTGAAGAAGAGCTCAGTGTAAGCTCAATAGTTTACCTCTATCACTAACAGAAGTTGCTCCAATCACCTGACCTGCCTTGTGTCTCTAATATCCTGAAATCAACATAGCTATGACAACACTGCATAACTGAAACATGTTCAAATGATTTTTTTTTAATAAGGAACAAATTGTAAGAGTCAGTGACACTTAAAAATATATCCTTATAAAAATGACTACTAAATTTCACATGAACTGCAATACTTATGACAATGTTGCAAGTTAAGGCAAGTTCAGTTATATTTAACTATACAGGCAATGACATTTACAAAAAAGGCTAAAACCTTCAGATGTAATGCAATACCAAAAAAGTAAATCTTGAGAGGAGATAGTAGTATTTTTCTAAAGAATAAAAACACAATGTAAAAATAATATATACCTTTAAAGGCATATGATAGCTATTGAGTCAACAGATTAAAAACAGAATTGCAAATTCTGAATTTTGTACACTATTACAAAGTTTTCCACTATTTCTTGTTAATCTTAATTGTGTGTAATGGCTCACTGTGGACTACTGTGAATAAAAACTGCTCTATGAGAGCCAGATATCTATGTCTTCCTGCTGTAGAGTCAGCAACTTTGAAAACAGCTCTTTCTGTCAGTGTGTGATGGTAGCAAGCATGGTTTTCTGAAGGGTTGATTCAGCAAAACCAGGACAGCTAACTGTCATAATCAGTATCATAATAAAGTATAAACAGACCAAGAAAAAAGACTGAGTGATGTTATCAGAAACAGACAAGAGAAACAAGGAGCAAAGAATACAAAGGCATAGTTGGAGGAGAAAAGACAGATGGTTCAGGAGAAATACAAAATGGGTGATACACAAAAAAACTGGAAGGAAGAAAGGAATAATGAATGTGTCTGAACCACGTAAACAAAATATAGTCACTCAGTAACTTCTTTTCTTTTCCAATTGAATATCTGTAAAAGGGCAGGAAAAATTTAGTTGGAGTGTGTCACCAATTTCCTTGATCCTAAAAAGTCGCCCTTACGTAAAGTAATTCTACAGGAAATCTGCAGGACACTGCCTGGGCATACCAGTAAGTATTCACATGCACACACAAACCTTGAATGGAACTGAAGCCTAAATTCATGGGAAGGTCACACACAATCCTTCATATTAAATATGCAGTGTTTGTTCCCTGCTGGTCTAAAAATTTGATCAAATGAAGGATCCAAGTGACTCAATGACTAGACAGTTGGCTCTCTCTTGCCTTTCCTGCTGCTGACAGACAACAAGAATGAAAGCGCTGCTGGAAGCAGTATTAAGAAATAGCAAGCAGAATGCTACATCAGACAAATATATACAACTGTTAAATTTTCAGCACTGTATATGGTGAATTAAGTGAGCAGCTCCTATCAACAATACAGCATATTTTCTGATCCTGTATTAAAAATTGATCTTGTAAGTAACTGAAATGGTTCACAAGAAAAAAGGAATGGTCAGAACCAGCAGAAAACACTATTTCATTTGTGTGCAGAAAGACTGAGTGTGCCAATGACCGTGCTCATAAACTATTTTTATTTTTACCCAATAATGATTTAAGTATTTGCATTTATATTGTAGATAATCAGTTTTATACACAAAATATTATGTAATAATAATTTATAAGAAACACTTACTGGGTAATTTTTTTGGAGGGATGGAAGGATGGGTTCAGGTAGGGCTATAAAAAAAAAGTTTAAAGTTGCTGTGATTCACATAATTCACAGAAAACAATATTGTATCAGTAACACCAAAGGTGTGGACTGAAAGTCCATGACAAAGGAGTTTACCCTGAATTTCACTTTCATGTACTTTGCGAAATTAAAGTTACTGCATAAATTTTATATTATTGTTGTACATTTTATAATATGAAAGTTATTAGTTAAGTGAAAGTGTTAACACCATATTGCTATTTGTAGAATAAAACATAAGATGACTTGTGTCAGCTGAATTCTGGATTTAAAGTTCATGTTAATTCATTATTTTAGGCACTATTATCTAGACTCCAAAAAAGATAACCATAACTTAACTCAAGTACATGGATCTATCCTAATACGATTATAACATGGCAGGGGATGTCTTCCAGGTTTTAGATAAGTACACAATATTTTAGATATAAAATTGCCATGTTATGTTATCAAAAGTAACTAAAAATAAAATAAGATATCCCACATATCCAGTAGCCATTGCTGGTAAAAAGTCTACAGAAATTATGTTCTGTGCTATTTCCTCCATACACCACATCTAACAGTGTTCTAAAGCCATGTGGACATTGGTGATGTTAGCGAACTAACAAATAAACACATAATTTCAACTTTCATAAAACCCTGACAGGGTGGAAGGAGTGGGGATGGGGGAGCAAGACAAGACACATACAAAGAACATAAATAATGGGGCAAATATTTATCTTCCATCTCATAGGGGCTTAAACGTAAATAGAGAAAAAACAAAACAGTTGAGTTTCCATTTAACATTTGTACCCCGCTCAATATTTATTGAGCGGCAGATCTGGTAGGTAGCCACTTATAGCAATAAAGCTATAATATCACACCATCAGCATGTTTTTAAAACAGTTAATTTATACCATTCCTTAAAGGAAAGTGATAACCAAGTTTAGCATCTAGAACTCAAAACTGGGCTTCATAGGAGAACAATTGTTAAGATACCCTTTGTTTTTGCAACTGAGAATTAGACATGCAGAATTCTCAGCAACAGGACTTTCATATTTTCAAAACGAATGTTACAATGACTAATTGGGTTGCTAAGAATAAGATCACAGCTGTTTTAATGCTCAAGTTTTCCTTTACTTGTGGGCGTTTAGGGATATGAAGGAGCTATCTTATTTCTATGACATCTTGGAGATTTCCCAGCATTCTGTCATGACAGAAAAGGAAGCAAATCTGAGACATCTGAGTGCTCAAGATATTTTCATTCACTTTGCATCATACATCATGAGTCTAGGGCTATTAAGGGGGGAAATGTTGCTGGTCAGTAATCACATTTGTCATTTGAGTTCCTCTTTTCCTTAAAACACAGTGCAGATAGACCTTTTTTTGTAGGAAGCTTAAAGCTCAATAAATGTGTGTACTTATAAAATAAACTCAAGCCATAGGTCGAAAGATTTCCCTAGTATCATGGTGGATAAAGGGAAAAGTGAAAAAGAACAGAGATCTGATTGTGCTAGGGAGAAAGACTGACTCCATTTTACTGGTAAACGAAATATTTGCTTTTTTTTCTTCTTCCGCTATACCTCGTTACTAGAACTTTTGTAGCTAAAATAAAGTTAAAAAAAAAAGGAAAAAAGCAGTGGTGTAGTGAGGGTACGTGCACAGGGAGAGGGGACAAAAAGCAAAACTGCGCAGAACTGCTCAGCAGAGGCAGCAGCCGTTACTAGAACTTTTGTAGCTAAAATAAAGTTAAAAAAAAAAAAGGAAAGAAGCAGTGGCGTAGTGAGGGTACGTGCACAGGGAGAGGGGACAAAAAGCAAAACTGCGCAGAACTGCTCAGCAGAGGCAGCAGCAGCTCCCAAGCCAGGGGTACTGGTCTCTGGGGCAGGCCTCGCAGCTCCCAAGCCAGGGGTACTGGTCTCCGGGGCAGGCCTTTGAAGTGCCTGCTCCCACCACCCAGCCAGACCATTGTTTCTCACTCTTGGTGAGATAAGCAAAATTGGGGAGACCATTGTTTCTCACTCGTGGTGAGATAAGCAAAATTGGGGGAGGAGGGGGTGCAAAAACCGGGTGTTTCTGGATGGGTCATGGACACACCAGTAAGAAGAAGGGGTGTCACTAACGGACATCACCCCATCCACTGTGCAACCAGTGGATGGCATTCCAGTCCTGCCTCAGTGGCTTGTCTTCAGGGAGCAAATGGCCCAGCAGCTAAACTGGCGCCCCACCCAGAGTGGCACCTGGGGACAACTGCACCCCCAGCATGGCGCCCGGGGGCAACTGCCCCCCTGCCCTTCTCTCACCACTGGAAAGAAGGTGTGTCCTACTTGTTTTCCTCCTACTAAATGTGTGATCAACAGTTGTGTACTAGTTAACCTCGCAGAAATAAAACATTAGGAATTTAACTGTTTCTTGCTATTCATATATCCAGAGGCACAACCCCCTCAACTTTTTAGCATAGGAAGTTGATCTAAGATAGGTAAAAAAGTACCCACGCTATTGTCTGTGAACTGTTGATGCTCCTTGTGGAACTGCCTCATCACATGATTCTGCTTCTCCAACTCATTTCCAGCTGCTTAATATTAAGAGACAGCAACACACACATTAAGTTCCTAGGAGTTTCCCATAAATAAGTGCAATGGTTATGAAACAAAAAACAGGACGATGTAGAACAATGTAGCACTTTAAAGACTAACAGGATGGTTTATTAGGTGATGAGCTTTCGTGGGCCAGACCCACTTCCTCAGATCAAATAGTGGAAGAAAATTGTCACAACTATATATACCAAAGGATACAATTAAAAAAAAATGAACACATATGAAAAGGACAAATCAAATTTCAGAACAGAAGGGAGACGGGGGAGGGAGGTAAATATCTGTGAGCTAATGATATTAGAGGTGATAATTGGGGAAGCTATCTTTGTAATGGGTAAGATAATTACAGTCTTTATTCAAACTTAGGCGTAAAGTGTCAAATTTAAGCATGCATGAATGACAGTTCAGAGGATTCTCTTTCAAGTGTAGTCTTAAAAGGCCTTCGAAGCAGGATGCAGGTAATCAAGTCATTGAGACAATGTCCTTTCTGGTAGAAATGGCAAGAAACTGTTTTTTCTTTGTGATCCTGTCTAATATCTGTTTTGTGGGCATTGATCCTTTGGTGAAGTGTCTGAGATGTTTGTCCAATGTATATAGCAGACGGACACTTTCGGCACATGATAGCATAAATTATATTTCTAGATGCGCAGGAATGTGTGTTCTTGATCTTTTAACTCACTTGGTTAGGTCCAATAATGGCATCAGCAGAGTGAATATGTGGACAAAGCTGGCAACGGGGTTTGTTGCAAGGGAAGGTACCAGGGTTGGTATTAGTGTGGTATGTCCTGTGGTTGTTGGTAAGAATCATCTTGAGGTTAGGTGGTTGTCTATAGGAGACTATGGGTCTGTCTCCCAGAGCCTCTCGGAGTTTAGTATCCTGTTCCAGTATAGGCTGTAGTTTATTGATAATGTGTTGGACAGGTTTAAGTTGGGGGTTGTAGGTGATGGACACCACAGTACAAACCAACAATGGAAAATTAGACTCCACTCTCTACAGAAATCCCACTGACTCATACAGTTACCTACATGCTTCCAGCTCCCATCCAGAACACACCACACGATCCATCGTCTATAGCCAAGCCCTTCGATACAACCGCATCTGCTCTAACCCCACTGACAGAGACCAGAAGCTTCAGGATCTCTACCAAGCATTTATAAATCTCAACTACCCACCCAGAGAAACAAAAAAGCAAATTGAAAGAGCCAGACGAATACCTAGAAACCATCTACTTCAAGACAGACCCAAGAAAACCAACAATAGAACACCACTTGTCATCACCTACAACCCCCAACTTAAACCTGTCCAACACACTATCAATAAACTACACCCTATACTGGAACAGGATACCATACTCCAAGAGGCTCTGGGAGACAGACCCATAGTCTCCTATAGACAACCACCTAACCTCAAGATGATTCTTACCAACAACCACAGGACATACCACACTAATACCAACCCTGGTACCTTCCCTTGCAACAAACCCCGTTGCCAGCTTTGTCCACATATTCATTCTGCTGATACCATTATTGGACCTAACCAAGTGAGTTATAAGATCAAGAACACATATTCCTGCGCATCCAGAAATATAATCTACGCTATCATGTGCCGAAAGTGTCCGTCTGCTATGTACATTGGACAAACATCTCAGACACTTCGCCAAAGGATTAATGCCCACAAAACAGATATCAGACAAGATCACAAAGAGAAAACAGTTTCTTGCCACTTTAACCAGAAAGGACACTCTCTAAATGACTTAGCCACCTGCATTCTGCTACAAAGACCTTTTACATCTGCACTTGAAAGGGAATCCTCTGAACTGTCATTCATGTTAAAATTCGACACTTACCAACAAGGACTTAACAAGTCTTTGAACTTTCTCACCCATTACCAAGACAGTTTCCCCAATTATCACCTGTAATACCATTAACTCACAAACATCCCACTCTCCCTACCTTTAATATCAGCAATTCACAGACACTTACCTTCCTTCCTCCCCCTTCCCACCCCCCCGCATCCTCCTTCTGTTCTGCAATGTGATTTGTCCTTTTCATATTTGTTCATTTTTTTAAATTGTATCCTTTGGTATATATGGTTGTGACTACTTTCTTCCACTATTTGATCTGAGGAAGTGGGTCTGGCCCACGAAAGCTCATCATCTAATAAACCATCTTGTTAGTCTTTAAAGTGCTACATTGTCCTGCATTTTGCTTCAACTACCCCAGACTAACACGCAATATTATCCGGTGGGTTGAGGTAAGATGATTTTTACCAACAACCACAGGACATACCACACTAATACCAACCCTGGTACCTTCCCTTGCAACAAACCCCGTTGCCAGCTTTGTCCACATATTCACTCTGCTGATACCATTATTGGACCTAATGATGTGAGTTATAAGATCTAGTGAGTTATAAGATCAAGAACACATATTCCTGCGCATCCAGAAATATAATTTATGCTATCATGTGCCAAAAGTGTCCGTCTGCTATGTACATTGGACAAACGTCTCAGACACTTCACCAAAGGATCAATGCCCACAAAACAGATATTAGACAGGATCACAAAGAAAAAACAG